GAGAGAGAGAGAGAGAGAGATTTCTTTAGGTAGAAACAGTGACATGTTTTTGTTAGAAAGGTTTTGAAGACTGGAAACCATTTCAAGCATACTTTTTGTCAGAAAAAAGCTATGAAAGAAGCTATACACATGTATACTTGTCCATGTTGTTAGACATATACTGACATCCTTCTTTAGAGAGAGAGACAGAGACACAGACATATCTTTTCTTATTTCTGAACAATCTCCACTTTGTATTCTTCTCCACATGCGCACTTTACAGATTGTGAAATGCCCTGAAAAATCAGAACCCATTTCAGATGGATCATAATCTCCTCCATCTTTATTTCAAATAAGACATATAGAAGGAAGGGAAAGCAACAATTGGAATTAGATTTCTCATTCAAACTGTTTTTTGAAGGCATGGATGAGCCTGTCAAATGGACAGTTCAGAAAGGATGCACTTTGACGATGAATAAAAAATCTGGACCGTCCATTATGGAAATGCCACTACTAAGCATGCTTCGCTGCTCAGCAAGCCAGAGATAGAAATGAGCCGCTTTACCAAAATTACTAAAACCTCCTTATTTTTGCTAAATTTCAAAGGCTTAAAATATTAAAATAAATGCTTCCTTCACTGTTCAACAACCGCAAACAAATTCTATAAAAAATTAAAAAATTCAATAATTTATATAAATAATAAAAGAGAAATAAGAATGCATAGATACCTTGAGTTGCTCTATCCTTTCTTGCAAAGACTGAAGATAGCTAATTTCCCCTGCTTTATCAGAAATCAGAGCTTTATGTTCCTCTTCCAAAGCCGATATATCCATTGCTTTCAATTCAGGCTGACACCGAGAATTAATAATTCAAACTATCAACACCAGGATAATCGCCCCAAAAATAATTACACACACAAAAGAAAAATCAAAAGATCAGAAGTATAGATGGATAACTAAGCAACAGAATATATGGAGTTATATAAGTGCGGGTTATGAATTTCTTCTAACAAACCGGAAAAGCGTCAAGTTTACGTTGCAGTTGCTCCAAGGTTTGTTTTGACTGTGAAACAACATACAGGGACCAGTTAATATGCAAGATAGTTGTGGACTTGAGGCCATTGATATTTACTATGATAGAGTTGGATCATCCATTTATGGAATCAAGAATTCTCTCTCTGCCTCTCTCATTAGCACAAAAAAGCACAGATACACACACACACAAACACACACACAGAGACCACGAAAGCAACACATCATCCAGGCAGTAAGGTTCATGAACCAACATATGATTCTTTGATACAATTTTTTATTTATTATTTTTTTTATGCTAATTGGTTCATCAGAATCTACATTTTGTGTGTGCACCCATACTCCAAAATACCAAAGTAAATTATGATTGATAATCATATCTAACTTGTATTTATTGTTATTTTCAAGTAACCGAAGTCCTGGAATTGGTATGTGACTATCAGTACCTCTGAATTTTGAGAAGCAAGTTTGGATTTTTGTTCAGTTAGTTCCTGAAGTTCAGCTTTTGCCAACTCTATTTTAGTCATGAGTACCTGACATTTCTTATTAGCTTCAGCTTCCTGCAAAACTTGCGCAAAAAGAGACATAATGTGTAAGGTTATACTAAAAGAATGACATGTAATAGCCATAGTTACTGTACTTAAGATGTTGACTATGAATCCTTTAAGAACACACTGCTTAAAACAAGAAAAACCTCGAGTTTCTCTTTGGGAAGTTGAATTTCATCACAGTTACCTGCATTACAAAATTATTCTGAAGTCAAACCCACAATTTACCACTTAAACATCAGAATTTTCATTTTTAAAAAAACTTTGAAGAAAAAAGAATACAACCCTCAAATGATATGGCCAAATACTTGAAGAATATGGTCCAAACTCCAAACTCACTGTACGCTTTTTCATAACATAAAACACTAGCAATTAACATCATACTGTATATGCTTTACAAGTCAGTCAGTGGCTAAGGAAAACGACCCAATTTTTAATCACCTACAGCTACAAGAAAGGATATCAATCTGATTAAGTGCACACTTCAACTGCTTGATGGAAAATGATTAATTTGTTCACACCATACTTAAGAAAATAATCCACGACAGAATTGACAAAGATAAAGGAGAACACAAGCTAAAACAGCTGTGTTTAGCTAGATAAAAGGGGGTAAGAAGCATTTACTCTTCATACCTTCAAGTCTACCTCTTTTCTCTGTATTTTTTTCCACGACCTACAACACATACATGTCATTAGAAGTTATAGATGGACATTTTTTGCGCAAAAATATATAAAACTAAAATTGAATACTTTACATAAAGCCTTGCATTTAAGCCCAAGTAATGCAGATCTACAAGATGAATTCTATTCACTAAAATTCTAAAAACGACAATTCTTTATATCTGCATATCCAAAATGTCTTTTTCATAGTTTTGGCACTTGCAAATTTAGTGAAAGTACATGAGAGCTTACTGATTTGAGCTCTTTGCCATGCTCTTGAGAATTATATGAGTCCTATTCATGAGGCAAAAGAGAAATAGGAAAAGGAAAGAAGTAAGAAAGAAAAACAAGTCACACAAGTAAATCATCTAATGATTTGTAAAAAGTACAAAGAAAAGAGTTTACTTGACGTTCACGTAATGCAGTACTTAAGTCCTTTAGAACTTTGTTGAAATAGTTCCTGCACTATGACCATAAAAAATTACTCAATTTACTTAGTTTTTCAATTAATTGTATAGCGAACTGAAATTTGCTGAATTTTAACCTTCTCTCTTCAATCTTTGTAAACAAGCTGGCAGTTTCTTGCTGCAAAAGCTCCATGCTCTGCACATAAAAGGATCCCATGAAAAAAGACTTGAAATTGCATAGTTAAAGATTTCTCATTTATCAAGTTTTGTGTTACACATGTCAAAAAGTCAAAACTTGTGTGTGTGTGTCTGAGAGAGAGAGAGAGAGGAGAGAGAGAGAAGAAAAAGGAGAGGAAGAGAGAGAGAGAGAGAGAGAGAGAGAGAGAGAGAGAGAGAGAG